ATTCAACATACTTTAAGTTATATTCCTAAAAGAAGACAGACAAAGGTTGATACAACACATTTAGTGGTTTATGTTTTTATAGTCTGGTACTTTATAAGGAAGGAATAATTGAAGTGCTCCTTAAGGCAGGCTGAATTTCTTTATGATCTGAAGGTAGGGCTCACCCAAATTACTGCACTTCATACATACATTGAGTTTGCAGAGTCGACAATTGATTCCATAATTATTTCAGTGAATTTGTTAAAAAAGGAAAGAAAGGAATATTTCACATCTGACTTCAACTTGAATAATCTCAACAGACCACCATGCATTTCAGTATTCCTAGAGAAGTGACAGCTTATAAGTTAGTCAAAAAATTGCCAACAGGAATGAGACCAAGCATTTATAGTCAATTATGAAAACAAAACGTTGTATGAAGAGTTTTATTCTAGTCATGACAATGACGCATTTTTCTTAATCATCTTGTGTTCCGATTTACTTCCTAACAGCATAAGCTAATTCTGTCTTCATGAGCTCTACATTTAACTTTAATTAGCAACAAGCAGAGGTAACATGTATCTTGAAAAATAGTATTCCTTTACACAATTTTCTAGATAAGACCTTACACAACAACCTATAGAAAGTCACTACACTCCTGAAATATTTGCTGAAATATCAAAATTACATAAAAGGCCTGGGTAAAACAAAAGCACACATGTACAGAGGAGCTATGGAACTGTAAGTCCCTGTCAACCTTTTTCAGCAAAATCGTAAGTCACTGAGGCAATAAATGCATTGGCATTAGCAGTACACATAAATGAATATGCAATATTTTTAAGAATATTTGACATTCTAAACCTGCATATTCACACCCTTCCTCCTCCTAATATCAAGCACGCTTTTTATTCTTAGCATTACCTTTTGCCACTTTTCCATTTGTTTTGTTACATAACCTCTTTCATTTAGATATGAAAACCCCTTTGGGATGGACAGAAATCTGTAAAGTAACATCAGACAGTTAGTACTCCACTTAAAACAAATCACATAATTTGAACAAAAGCAAACACACATTTGTTTCCACAGTGTGAAGTCAAACAGCTTATTCAACATTTACCTTAGGAGTAGAAGCAAACCCTTGTCTCCAAGATGAGAAAGAGCTGGTTTCATTTGGATAAGGGCATGAAGATTGGCCTAAAATAATTAAAAATGCATAAGGAGTATCCAAGCACGATATAATTCTGAAAACTACAACAATTACAACCATCTGCCAGCAATGAAGCAGCAAGTTTTTCACAAAAGGAAGTACCAAACAGCACTGATATCCTAATATTATCTACTTTAGGTACCTTCTGGCATTAAAGATGTATTACTTCACAAAAAGCATAATGATCAAAATAGCTAAATTAGTCTGAATTCGTATTTGAAACCAGGCATAATTCAGAAGTCTGCATCTTCTTGTCATTAATACTGCAGTATTTTCAGTAAGGGGTCTATAAACTATTATGGACTAGATGAACTTTAAAGGTCCCTTCCATCCCAAAGCATTCTATGATTCTATGAAGTCCATCAATTACAATCAAGAAAGGAAAGCATCAGTAGCTTCTTGCACACTTTTACTTTGCTATTGGTGGAGGGGGTGGAGAACAGCTTACAGAGTAGCACAACAAAAGAGGTTGAAAACGGAAAGGATGCTCACCTTGTCTTCACATGCCTCATCTAGAATATCAAGTGCTTCAGAAGAAATAGTTTTGTTTTTATCATGTAACTGAGTCACCAGTAACTCAATCCCCCAGTTGCTGAAGAACTCTACATTTGCTCTCAGTAATACTCGTAAGTGTTTTGTTGCATACAACCTGCAGCTCTGCAAAAGTAAGGAAAATGGTTTTTTGAATGGAAGAAAAACAGCCAATGTAGTTAATAATTTATCATTTTTATAAATACATTTAAATTACTGTATTTTACAGCCAGAAGCTGTGATGCACATCCTGTGTATTAAAACTACAGGCTATTAGAGAGCTATTTCTATCTTATCAAATGGGAAATTTGAGTCTGAGATCACAAGTAATCTGGTCACTGCAAGTGTCCTTGGAAAGGCCTTATCAATTAGTCACTCACTGTGATAGCACCACACAAAGTCACAAGGATTAGCAGGAAAAACACTTCATAAATGGCCAGTGCGACTGCCTGTACTTTCATGCATGCAATGTTTTGCAAAAAACTTTAACAAGCACATATTAGAACCTCTGGGGAATTTATTTTAATAAATTTTAAATTGTTGCCCAGAAGTATCTGATCTTCAAAACTTCTCATAAAACTTTCTAAGTAGAAAAATGTTATTTTCTGTAGTAAGACAGTTTCCCAACACTTAGTTTACTACTATGAATTTCTCCAAGTGACAACAGAATGAAGTTAAGTACCTTGTCAGTTCCTGTACTGCTGTCCAAAACTTGCTGAATAAACAGCATAAACTGATTAACACCATTTTCTATTAGAAAAAATATACACAAAATAGAAGCAAAACAGGCTCAATCTACAAGAATTTGCAGTGTTCTGGAGTAAGCACAGAATAACCCTGACAACGTATGCTTACTAGGAAAGGTGTTATCTATACTTAGACAAGCATAGATGGAACAGACAAAATCAGATCTTCAGTCCCTACACCTTTAAGAGTATAACAGCTACAACCAAGTAACTTTTCTACACGTTAAAATACAAACGATCTACGTTGGGATGCATGTGAATATCTGTACTCCAAGAGATAGGTGAATTGGTCCAGGCTGGACAGCAATACCTAGGTTAACAATATCCTCTGGATTCTTTTTTTTTCCTCCAGAAATACTTGGCAAGCAGGACTTGAAAGAAAATGCGAGTAGGCAATGTGAACGTGCACAGTTCATTTCAAAAACATTGTCCCATTATTTCAGCCTCAAATATCATGTGCGCATTTCTACTTATTCAATATACAGAGGCTTATTTTCTGGAGGGGAGGCAGGAATAATGTAACACATACCAAGAAAGACTGTGGAACAGCGATTTGCAACTCTGACCTAGGCTGCACAACGATTTTGAGATGGCTTGCATCCTGTTAGTGGTATGCCTTGTATGTGGAATAGATGACTAGCAGCATATTTACTAAAGATGAGAACAAGAGCTATTATGCTGAAATGATCACTTGATCACTGATGTGATCAACTTGATCACTTGATATTAAGCCTACAGATTAACACAATAATATGAAACCAGAATTCAGTGTCATGTAGTTCAAATGCTAAAATCTGTCTATGAAGAATTGCTGTTACTGCTGTAACTATACTGAGTGATACAGAGAATGAACTCATGACTGATGGGACAATAAAATGGCAAATAAAATTCACTGCAGATAAATTTGAAACAATGAGCTAAAGTGAAAAAATAATCCCAGCTTTACACACACAACAGGCTCTGAGCCAGCTCCTTCTACCAAGGGAACTTGGGGCTAGTACCAGTTAGTTCTGTGGAAGCGTTAGATAGAAGTTCAATGGCAACCAAAACCACCGAAAGTAAACAGAACGAAATGCGTCAGCATTGTCACAAGGTAAATTCACTGGGTGTTGACCTCTTGGACACTGTGTACAGTTCTAGTCTTCCTACCATCATCAGAAAGAAAAAGAAGAACAATTAAAAGGGTGTAAAGAACAGCAGAATAGGGTTTTAAGTAATTGAAGGTATGGAAAAGGGTCTTTATAACAAGGAATGACTCAACAGACTAAGATGTTCAAACCTCAGCCCTCGGGCTGCAAAGCCACTGCATACATTTCCAACACTTCTAAAGTCTTCAAGCAGGGCCACAACCTCTGCGCAGCAGGATTACCTGTATGCATTTCCCATATCAGAGGGGGAAAGCCCAGCATAGCTTTTCCAGATGAAGCAAAATCCTGGAATGTTTTTACTTTTGATGAGAACTGATAGGAAAACCAGCGCAGAGGACATCTGAGGAAACAGACGTTCCCCTCTTCCCCTCACACATGAACTACATGAAAAACATAGATAAAGCCCCATACTAAAGCTGTCAGAAGATTCTTCTTTTACTATCAAAGGGCTTTGAGACCCTTAGAAGTGAAAAAGCAAGTCAGAGGTCACTATGCTCAGCTGATTACATACAGCTGACAGCAGATACAGGATAAGTCTACCCCTTAGCCACCTATAAAGATAAAATTTTAGGTCATGAACTACAGCACTTGAGGACACACTGGGTACTCTGCTGTTTCTACCACAAACTGGCAGAAAGGCAGCTGAGGAAGAATTAATTTGCTTCAGCATGAATGACCAAAGCACATCTGGAAGTAGGTTAAGATGTGCTTCTGCTTCACTGATCTGCAAGGATATTGCTCTGTGTATGTTTTCATTGTATACAGTCACCCCAAAACGCTACTCTCCCCTTCTAACGCTAAGCTGGCTACAGAAACTACTTTTCCTTGTTCAGAGACACTCATTAGCAAATGGCTAACAAATCTGCTTCAGAGCTCTGGGTAGCTTTAAAAGATTTATGAGGCTATAACTTCAGTTAACTGAAGAAAAAGAGCGTCTTCAGCTTTTGAAATAAACAGATAAGGTATTTCATTAACAAACATCTCAGGGAATTAAAATTTCTGAAGGGAAGAAGCCTTACTGGAGATGGTCTTTCTCCCTTACAAAACACATCTTTTCAGAAATTATGTCCAGTTCCATACATTTTTATTGCTTTTAAACAGAATTTAGAAGCCAGGGGCAGCATGTAGAATCAAAATCACAATCTGTCTTCTGGACTATGAATTAATACAAACCCTTCCAGAGGCTTACTATACAGGCTCCACTCATCCTACAAGATCCTCATCAGAAGTCCTTGAAATGGGAAGGTGGAAGGGCTTGCAAGTGCCTTATTTGAATTGAACTGCATGTTCATTTTTAATCTTACGATTCACTTGTCCAAGGTGACAGAAGGTCAGTTCTGGTAATATTTAAAAATATATTCTCCTTATGGGACAGAGCAGTGACTGGTATAAACGGCACCAAGTTTCAATTTTTACCTATTATGCTTGCTAAATACAAAGGAGTAAATTTTCTTTTGCTGTTGACAATACTGCTGTTTCAGAATTCCAGACCATCAAACCCAGAAAACGGCAGATACCTTCCCCTAACATCTAAACGGAGGTACTTCCAAATTACTGCTCAGTCAGTGGAGCTGCCCATGCAAATACCTGTCAGTTCAGTATTTCTATATTCTTTCAGGTATCTTATCCTCTCAGAATTGACAACTATTTCCACCTTACATGAATATTTTCATTTCTGGAAGAGACTTGTACTTTTGTCAATTGCAGTTGTTAAAAAATACCACTTATACCTCTAAGGATACAGTTAATACCAGAATAATCAAAAGGTTTTATCCTTTGGATTAGCTTTTTACACTTTGATCTTCTATTGGAAGCATGAACACCAGGAACACTGAAGACAAGCATTTTGTCCAAGAGATGATACTGGCAATATTGTGTACACCAAGCATTACCAAAGGGTTCTTCAACAGGTCAACGTTTTGCCTTTTGTCAAGTGGTACTCAGTGACATTTTCTCTTCAAAATCCCATCAGTTCAATTTCTACCATAAGAATATATGCAGTTGGCCACATGGTAAGACAGGAAAAGAATTTCTTAAGGAAGTAAATAAATTTTATCAAAGTATGAAATCATCTGTGATTGATGCGAACATAGACCCATTTCTCTTGGCTGAGACAGTCCATTCTATTTGTGATTTTCCTCTTTTAGATGAAATATACGAAGTATTTCCCTGTGAATTCCAAGAATTCCAAGCAGGTCAACTAATTCAGAAAACAAAACACCCTGAAGCAGTTTTATCCATCCCTCAGGGTTCAATATGTTTCACAAAGGAAGTCAGGCTCCATTGAAGAGGTTCAAACGGTAAATTTTCCTTCTGTTTTAGTGTCCTGATAGTAAAAGATTCATTTACATTTGTGATGAACAAACAATATTTAATTTTTTATATTTCTTAAATGTGTTATCATAATTTTTTTTTTAAAAGAAAACATTGAAGGGATTCTCATGGTATTGCAGCGTACAAAAATCAGGGTACAGTTTCACCCAGTGCAACACTGAACTCTAAATAGTAGAATTTAAGTCACAACACATCTCGGCTATGAACTTGCCTGGAGATCACTATGGTTAGAGACCTGCTACACCTGAATGCACACCTGACTCTGATATTAAAGACCCATACTGGGCACATATGAGAAAGGTTACACTTCTACTTATAAAGTAAGTCAGTGCTCGGCAGTTGAGAAGATATATCCTAATAATTTCTATTCTTTTACATCTCAGGAGACTGCCAAAAGCAGACAGTTACTTAATCTCTGCTGTTTCCCTAGACAATGTTGCTAGATCCACACATCAATGTGAGACTGGGAAATGGAAGCATTAGAACTCAGTAGCCATAGGCTACCAGTGTATGCTGAGACCTTAAAACATCACAGATGTGAGAAGGTACCAATGTATCTGGCAAGAAGGATCTACAACTTGAAAACTAATTATTTAGGTTTGAGCTCCAAAATTTGTGTTCTTAAGTTTCTAAGCCTGTAGAATGTCTTTTAGCTTTCTCCGAAGAGTTCTACTTCAACATTTGTCAAGGTCCGGCATTAAACAGTCAAGGTAATGCCAGCGATGAGATGATCCCTAATCCTTTTCACAATTCCAAACAGACCAGAACTGAAATGGGTAAACCTAAGGGCTCTACATGCTTTCCTAATTTCTAAGGTGCCAGAGAGTGATGTCTATCCTGTTCACGTCCGAAGTACAAGAAGTGTTTACTACCTAGTGTTCATTAAGCTGAATTGCAAATACGTGGAAATTGTATTTTTAGTTATCATCACTAAGAGCAGCATAGCTCTCACATCCGAAGTACAAGAAGTCTTTACCACCTAGTGTTCATTAAGCTGAACTGCAAATATGTGGAAATTGTATTTTTAGTTATCATCACTAAGAGCAGCATAGCTCTCAACTGCTTTCTGGCTTTGCATATCCTTGGGACAGGATGTTCAGACAGTATCTGCACCCCACTTCGAGCCAGTCTGCTTACAGTTAGTGATACCTGTATCAGAGCTGAATACATTCTGGGGTTTTTTGGTTGTTTTTTTCCCCACCCCCCCCCTGCCACCGCTAAGATAAAAAAAAAAAAAGTAGAAAAGTAGGTCTTTATAGAACATTTAGAAGGAGATCAACTCATTCCTACCTACATAAAGCCTTTGGGGTAAGTACTGGATGCTTGAAAACATTTGAAAATATCTCTCTCAAAACAGAATTTAAGTCTTCATACCTTAGACATCACAATCAAGAAGTCTTTCCCAAAATCCAAACCACAAACACTAATTCATAATACAATGTCTCAAATTATTAGTGTAACTGTATACATCATTGAGGAGATTGTGACAGCATGCCTGGACTTTTTTCTAATTGTTAACTAGCTGAATTTGGAAGAAACTGAAACGCTGGAGTGCTCTTCCTCCACGTATGGCCCCTCTTTATGAGGTAAAAATAGCTGGGAGGTGGTGGAGGGGGCAAGGGGCAGTACCCATTGACATGAAATCTCAACACAATCAGCTAAATTAAGTTCCACAGTCTAAATTACTCTTAACTGACAGTCATCCAACAGGAGCTTAGAATTCTAATAAAGACACAGGCATGTGTCCTCACAACTTATTAATTTATGTTTTCTTCCTCAGACTAGGTTTAAAACAGCTTTGGAGAAAGGATATCAAAGTCATCACTTCACTGAAAGATTACTTAAAAATTGTTCACTAGGGAGCTTCACCTTCTTCTTTCAATGAGTCATTCCTTCAATCCCAACTATCTTCATTACTTTCAGACTCCACTCTTTACCCGTAAGAATCATCGTATCTTTGATAGTCTCGGAGAAGTATCCTCAATTTCCTTCTTTCCCTCTCCTCTTCCAAAATACAATGACACCTTTAAAGCTAGCATCTACCTTATTCCCTCTTGCATCCACTCTGGAATATATTCTGCTTTGTCCAGGCAACAGCAACAGAGAAGTAGCTCTCCCTGAAGTAATCAAAGTTCTTCCCTAGTTAGATTTCAACTTACTAACTGTCATTTCCCCGACATCAATGCTTGCTTGTCTACTATGTTACACCTGATTGATTTCTCTTTTCTGAGAAGTTCCAGAGCTCCCTTTCCCAAGTCTATGTAAGTCTGTGTTTTATTTCCACTCACCTTCTTTGATTCAGAAGTACAAATCCCAGTGCCTGTTTCTGAACCACACCCTTGTTGCAGGAGCTATAGCTTCTACTCAGTTCCACCACAGTAACCTCAATCATTATCAAAACAGGATCTACCACTGGAAGGTTAACCTGTTTATTACTGCTAGAAATACACATTTCTGTTTGTGAAAACAATGCCTTCATGACTGATTTACTGACCTAGACAATAACACTACATTTGGTTTATGCATTTAAAGACTTTAACCTCCTTCATACATGACAGAAACCTCTCTTCAAATGACGTAATTTCTTGAGCACAAATACAACATACAGAGCGAAGTTCACAGCAAATTTAAAAGCTTCATGAGTGGGAGTTTAATTTCCTAAATACAAAAATAAAAACCTTTCTGGATATAGAATAGCTTAAAAATAAAGTCATACACCTTGAATAACAAAATAAATGTCTAGTGGCAAATAACAAAGGAACGTAAGTTGAATCAAACTTACATCAGTAGCTGCTGTCAGGATTTTAGAAAGGATGACTCTTGCTAACCCATCTCTGCTGTAATCCAAACTAGAAACAGTCAATTTTAACAAGTGATCCTGGTTCTTCAAAGAACAAAGATTAAGAAGACTGGGGGAGTCGGGGGGAGAAGGGGAGGGAGAAGAAAATAAAAATTAGTATTTGAACCCACTCAAACCGATTTATTTATTCAATCAATAATTTAAACTTAATTTAAATTTGAATTAGATTTTCATTTCTATAAATGCAGAATACAAAGTTCTCATATGAAATGGAGTAACTTTAAACTGTTACAGCTGTTAAGAGTCAAATGGGGACCAAATAATGCACTAGACTGCAAGGGGAAAAAACCCCAAACCAACATTTTTTTATAATTGCTATGTAATAATTTTTCAGCATACTTTAATTAGCGATTAGGAGTACAAAAACTAATGTTGATGAAACTCTGTGAACAATTCCTCATTGTAAAATATTCTGTGTATAAAGCTTGCCATAAGGTTAGTCCTATTAGCTGTCTAGATTTTATTGTAAATCAAGTTTTCTGAAGCCAGTAAAAAATTTGCATTCTAATAATCAATGAAAACAACTTAATTAAAGAAAAACAGAGTACATCAAAACACCTCAATTTTTGCTTAAAGTTTACTATATTTAAAATAAACTGGTATTAGCCACTGCCAATTTACTCCCAAAGAAAGGTAAGTTTATTTGTACCTGAATAAAATTTTGAACTTCACAGCTTTACTCAAATATACTGGACTGAAGTTTAGGTACATTTCACAAACAGTATGATACCTGCCAGTTCTTGGTGTTTTGTGCGGTTTGTTGTTGTTGTTGGTTTTGTTTTTCTTTTTTTTTTTGTTTGGTTGGTTGGTTTTTTGGGGGGGAGGGATATTTTTTGTTTGTTTGTTTGTTTGGGGTTGTTTTGTCTTTTCAGTACAGTATCATCCTTCCTGATACTGATTTCTGTCAGATAGATGCGGACAGGAAAAAGTAAGGTATTTTGTGACACAATCACCCATATCTATTCAGCAATGACAGACTATAACACTCCTTCTTAACAAAAACCACCGACTGCCCCCCTCCCCCAACTGAGGATCTTTACTTGCAAGTAAATCAAAAGAACTTTAAAGTTTTCAGCTTTAGAGATGGTGGTCCTCATGCACAGTTTACAATTTTCATAACTGTTATACCTGTAAGCACAATTCAAACAGAATAAAAACACTCACCACTGAAACACATTACATTTTTCAAGCATTTTCACTCCATGAGGGTGACAAGAGAGAGTACAAAAACAGAGAAAGTAGTGCTGGCTAAGGGTATTTAGTAACCCATTATTTTGAAGACTACGTTCAGGTTTCATTCCTGATGAAGAGTTGAGCCAATATACAATATCTTTAACCAATTCCTCCAGGTAACCTTGTCCATCCTAACAAAACAAAGAGAAATAGCATCTACTAGTAACAGAAATGGGTCTCTCTTCTTTAGTGAAATCCATAATTTTAAATTTCTTGAAGTGTACAAACGCAATACAGATACAAAATAGAAATGCTGTTTGGCAAACACAGTTCAGACTAAAGAAAAAGGTTCAAGGCAAATAAAAGGAGTTTAGCTTGGAGACGTCCTAGGATCAATTCTATTCTTTCCAGGAAACGGACTGTTCAATGACAGTTCTCCTCTGGTCTGAGGCATAAAAGTCTTTAGCACACAAGAAGAAAGGAAGTAGAGAAAGGAAGGATATACATAGCAAAAATTTAAAAACCTCCAAACCCGAAGTTGCATTTCATAAAGATGTATTTATAAAACTTCTACTGAACAGTCGTCTTCCTCAGTGTCTCATCTGGACAATTCAGGATTTTAAGTTATATTTCTTAATTACACTGATCATTTTAGATTTAACACCCAATGTCTACAGAAGTCTTTACTAAAATTAAGGTTTTTCCTCTAAGTGGCATACAGCAGCACCACTTATTCTACCTCCAGTCTTGTAGCTGTAAATTTCTTACCTCTTCTGATTCAAGAAGAAATTCAGTAAACTGACAACCCACCACTGTGAGCTGCTTAGCCTTGGCATAGTCCAGATCCAGGCTGGCATACAGTTTACTGCTAGGCTTGTAAAAATATAGTAATCTCCTTACAAACCTATGGAAAGTAAAAAAGAATTTGCTGTTCTTCAGTATGACAAGCACAGTCTCACAGTACAAATGATGCTGGTAGAAAAGGTACATTATCACTAAATTAGCTTATCGGCAATAAATTTTCAAAAGTTATTAAGAGAGTAGCAGGTAGCAGTAATGAGTCTATCCAGACATGATTTCAGAAATGCAACTGTACTGTGTGTTATAAAGGGTTTTTTATGCCATGACTTAAAATAAGCAAAGGAACTCAAAATCTCTATGCTCCTAGAAGCCATAGCTTCCTTCTCATGCTCATGCTTATAATTTATTCTGCTCTAATTTATCCTGTGGTGAGTTTCAAAGACTACATTATCTAGACTTACAAAGAGCTAAAAAAGAACCTGTGACATGCGTTTTCTTCAGCTATAATAGTTAACGCTACTGTGAAAAATACATTTTTGTGTTCTGCCAGGAAAAGGCCAAATTCAGCAACAGTATTTTCATTCGCCTCACCTAAGCATTTCTGAAGCATAACACAGTGATAGCAAATGCAGACTCTCACTCAGACTTCTTGAAATCATGGTGAGCAATATAGCTTGAGATTTGCATTGCAAGAATTGCATTCTTCAGCAAAGAACTTCCCCTTGCCAGTTCTTAGTCAAAAAATAAACACACATTTGCACTTTAAAATAACACAGAATATTCTGTCTGAAGGTAGGTATGTCAAGCATTAAGAAAACTTAACTAAAGCACTGTGCCTTTAGTTTAAAAAGTGAGAGTAAGCCACTGTCCCCAACTCCAAACACAGGACCAATTATAAAGGAAATCTGAGGGCTTCTTCAAATTTTGTCAAATGAAATGTATTTTATTCTGGGTTATTAGTGATAAATATATTATATATATTAACACACACATTTATATGTGTATTTATATTTACATGTGTATACTTAAGTGTGTATATATGTATATACATGTGTATATATACATTGCATTAACTGTACCTCTATGAAATGAAGGAATGGATATAAAAACATCTGGAATTTCACTTTAACAGCCTTAATAACAAGAACATTTAAAAAAATAATAAACTTATGGAAGGACAAATAAATATACTTTACACTTCAAAAACAAAGTGGCTGAAAATTTTTTGTGATCAGCAGTGAAACTAGAGAGATTCGGGGCTTAATTAGTTATAATTAAACAAGAGCAACAGCATTTTAAAGCCATTAAAGCATCTAACCCACAATCCTGCAGAAAGGATCTATGAATTGTACAAGTTTTACACTAACTCAATGCTAGATTTTCTCAATTTATTTATTTAGATTTTCTCAAATTATTTAGGCACTGAAAACGCTTGAGTGGAACACAAAACCAGGGAACAGGAACACTGTCCCAGGTAGGCAGGTAGAGGGGTAGGTGTGGGTGACGCAGCTGGGACTGCAGACATTGCTTTAGAGAAGCAACGTTATAAACCACCAGATTTGGAAAAAAATCCTTTTACCACAAAGTACAGATTGACAATTAATGTTCAGGGAAGGAAAAAACCCAGAAAAAATACAAACGCAAAATTAAATTATGGCTATGATTACAATGGGACTACCACTTATGCTGGAAACACTGTGTAGAAGTAGCCTGATTACTTTTTAGTCAAAATTTAAAATGGAGCAGCGTGAGCCTTTCAGCATATGTTTTAGCTTTAGGTTTTTCTTCAAATGTATGTAGAAGTAGCTTTCCATGCCTACAAATACAGAACTATTCTTCAAAATAATTTAATCAAATCAATTTCTGAAATGCATGTTAGAAGGGACATCCAAGAACTAATTAGTAACACTATTACCACATATGCACAAAAGTAATAAAAATGTCTTGATGCCAACAGACATGAAATGAACCAGAGCTGTACTGTTTTCTTGTTTTTTTCAAATCACACATGCTTCCCTTGCCATGAATAGCAACCAGAAATAACTTCCTCTTGGTTTTTGATGAAAGCTATAACTATATAACTGTACAACTCTAGACCTATTCTGTTAAAATTTGCCAAGTGCTGACATCAAACACCAACGTATAAAATATCAAAGGGGTAATACTTTAAAATGAAATAGGGTTTTTGCAAAGCTGGTATGATTCTTGTTAAGGGAATAAATATGTAAAGTATCTGTGCATAGAAAAGAAACCACTAAAGCATAAAGAGCTGTTTATTTAAAGCAAATATTGCAACCTAATTATCGAAATTTTCATTTTTGCTGCTTATCTATAAAGTTTAAGAAGTGTGACATATCCATGCAATATTTTATTGCAATATTAAAAACCAGTTTTTCTGAATTTCTTTCTTCAAAGGAAGTCTACATAATTTTTACATACCTGTGCAACTGTTCATCTTTATAGTTCCTTAGATTTACATTTGGCCACTAGAAAAACAGCAAATATAGCATTATATGAAATGTATACATCAGTCCTTGATTAGTCACTAAAATTTACTCATTTCTATTATAGTTTTATTTACCTAGTAATTAGAAGTGTAAGTTTTCTTGCATCTAATGTTACCTACACAAACCCCTTATTTTATTGAAAAGCCCACACTTCTTCCTCCAAGAACTGTTCTATTTTTTTCTAGAGAAGGACAGGGAATGTCAGTCACATGCTATGTGTACAAGTCAGTCGCATGCTATGTGTACAAGGCCACAATTCTAATGAAAACAGCAAACTATGAAAAACTAATGAAAAATAAACAATTTTTCTCAGTTTCTTCTTGGCAAATAACAAAAAAAATTTGATATGCCTAACAGGGAAATAATTTTTTTGTTGTTGTTTTCACTATTAATCAGATTTGTTTTAAAAATAATCATTATTCCCTTATAGGTCACTTAAATACTGCTTATTAAAATGGTATTTAAACTCCTCTGTTGACACTTCATAAGATGTTTTAGTATGGATCAGATGAAGTCATAATAGTCTCTTCTGGACCTATCCTTTTTTCCTATTATATTTTCCTCTATTCTTACAGCCATCTGTTGTCTCTATGGTTTTAGATGTATTTTTGTTGCTACTAGTAAGTATCTTCTTGGAAGGGATCGAAAAAAGTGCATCAAACATTCTTCTTTCCTACCTAAGGGATATCATTCTATGTTTCCAATTGGTATACTAGTATTAAGACATATAGTGCACTAGTTAATGATTAGTAAAACTGACTCCACTAGTATGAGTGCCAGATAAAGTATGAAGCTCTACTGTCAACGACAAAATCGCAGTTCCTCCATCCTGACCACTTTTAGCGGCTCAGACAGCAAGCTGAGTAAGTAAAAAAGGCAGTAAGGGACCACGTGAGATGCAAGTAGTGAGGTAGTTCGAAAGCTGATGCTTCACAGCTGTAAGGCTGTGACAGAGACAAGAGGAAGGCAAGTAGCCACATGAGACAGCCAATCCGAACACTGGAATCTGGATCCTGCTCATTTGAGGACTAAAGGTGGACCACTCTGATAACATTATCTTAGTTTATGCTGGTGTTGTGCAGTTTTAACAGGAACAGAAGTGGTTGGTTAGAATTAAACCAGAAAACAAACTTCTCATTCTGGAAGACAGAAGTCCCTGATTTTGAGACATTAACAAGTGTCTGACAGGACACTAGAAAATATACTGCTCGGGAGGTCTGAGATAGCAGGGAAACTCAGTTTGACCTAAATTCAAGGTGAAAAAAAAAAAAAAAACATCCAACACCTTAGGGGTCAACTACATAAAACTTCCATTGTCAAAGTACGACAAAGACTAATTAACAGCAAGATTCTGAAAAACAGTTTGTTGGTAATATCTTTAATACTGAATCAAAGGTAAAAATATCTATGATTAATAATCAGAGACAGCTAGTAATCCAGCAAATCTAGTAATTACAGTAAAAAACCTGTAAACTAGTAAATCTGGTGGAGCAAAGCTACTGTCATATACATGCTCAGGTCTCTATACCAGACAGATTCTTGCTCTCAAGTTTATCAGTCCCTGACAAAATGCACAGAAATATTTAGTTTCTTTTTTTTTTTAATATATAATCGTGATTAAGATTGTCAGAATTAATTCTTTTTTGTATTTTCACCATCTTTATAACAACACAGTAAAGAAGACATTAAGAAAATATTACTTGGGGGTAACAACAGAAGGATAGCTTTGATGCACAGAATGACAGGAGCTATTTTGGTTTGAAGACTATATTGAGTACTCACTCAGAAAGTTTGTTTCCTCAAAGAAAGTAAATTTTCTACTTAATAAAGAGGCAGTCTCTTAAAAGTGGTGCATTAAATATATTTAAGTTAATGCCCTCCCTGTCAGAGATATTTCCTTTATTTTATAAAAACAAACTAAGTCTGTAATGATCTTGTTGCTATGGAATATTTGTATTAGTTCAAAACATCCAATGAGATTGGATGAAGTTTTCATATGTGGCTCAGTCTAAGCATCTGAAGTTCGATCTATAACCCTCCAGCCTTAACCTTCAGCTCACATTGTATAAAAAAAAATCTGCTATGAAACTGAATGAGGCAGTGTCCCTGTGTAGTTTGGACTGAAGTCTAAAGTATTAGCACTGTTAAAGTCACTATAGCTAATTCTGTAAAGTTGATTTCTATACAAATAAAGTTATATAAAATTTAATACATGTTTATTAAGAAATTTGTGAATTTAACTGTAGTGTAGTATTGCATATAGTTTAAAGGTTGTATACAAAGAGACTGTATCAGCACTGATTAAACCCATGAGATCCTAATTTTCTGAAATAAAACAGATTATGGGATGTAGTATGGAATTAATATTAGGAAGTCAAAACTCACATGTGAAATGGAGACACTATTTCAAACAATTTCATAGAAATAATAGCACACCCTTTTTAAGCTCACCTTCAGTATGGTCCCTATTAGATTCCAATTCCAGTCAAGGTTCTCTTTATGATTGAGAACTTGGCTGTCTCGAAGATTCATTACAAGTGCTTCTTCTGTATCCTGGCACACAGACATGAAAAACTACAGTAAGTTTCCTTGCATCACTTTTTTCAGTCTTGTCATACGATATACTTACTGTTCATGTAACAATCATTAAAAGGGCTATGCTCCACAGTAATTTGCATTTGAAAGTAAACTGCATGGTTATAGTACTGCATTAAGAATATAATAGTAAGAGATCACAAATGGTTCTAAAAGGAATTAAAAATTATTGTCATTTCCCTCCTCAATTTCTAGAAATGCAATATGGTATCCACAAGTACCTACAAGACAAATTAAATGAAAAAAATACTACAAAGAAATCACATAAATGGCTCTGAATTAGATGAGGGACTGAAGCTTGAGGGGCAGGATCTAAGTCTCCAAAATACAAAGTCAAATTCAGTTTTGAAAAATCAATAATGGTAATACCTTTAAAATAAAGATGTCTTTCTGCACACGGTACTGATCCCTTTTTTGGTGTGTTGAGATTGCCTTCTGAATAATATGATCTAAATGGAGGCTGTAAGGTTTAGGTCCTCTTTTCTTCATCTCATGAAAATGTTTTAAGCAGTTGAGTGCGGCACTTGCTCGTCTAATAGAAAAGATACTATAATCAGTATTTGACAGCTGTTATTCAACTAAAGAGCGCCACTGCTCTATCTTGAGTTAAATAAACATAGCTCAAAAAAGAATTCATCAACAATTCCAAAGCCAATAAAAAGAAAATAATTTTCTTTATATAAGTTTTCATACTTCCATATCCCTCAGTCTTGTACTGAAATTATACAGAAAATTATCTTTCAGAATTTCTAGTACTGATGAATGAGCCTTACTGATAGCTTTTCTTCTACTCTGCAATTAGTAGTATCTTTCGGAGTTCACAGAAGATATTGCAAAGTTTAAAGTTGATAAAGTATTGTGAGATGTCACAATAGATCAATGTTCTACAGTGAAGTTGAGACGGCTAGCTCCAACTTTGACTAACAAAGTATTTGTTCTCTTCCCCTCCCCAGAGGGTGGCAGGAGTATCAGTAGTATATCTCCTGCTCTTTATATCTAAACAGCTCAGCAACAACATGTAAGAAATTTTCCAGGAAAAGATAGGAAATAATATAAATTATATTTGACATGGGCAGAAACAGTTAATTGCAAAATAATGGTAGGAGGAAAAAAAAAATTGATGAGCAAATAAAATAAGGAAGTCTAAAAAATGAGGAGGTACATCTACCTGCTGAACAAATAAAATAAGGAAGTCTAAAAATGAGGAGATAAGTCTACCTTTCTTCCCCATAAACAAAAATTGTCACTGGGTAGGAGAGCATTTTTATTTTATATTATGTTCACACAAACAAATACCTATCAATTTGGTCATTTATCTAAGCTACATAAATTTAATCCGTAACAGGGCTTACAGTTTTTCAGAGTATGAAACAACGCAGAGTGTTGACCAAAACCAAGATCGCTGAATAAAAAAAATAGTACTTCTACAAAATCACTTGCTTCCAACATAAACGGGAATTCTTACTACTCTATCAGGTATGTCCACAAATGCCAAAAAGCAAAAAACCTGCAGATAATCCACAAATGTGTCCTTTCTACTCTTCATCCTTTCTCTCATCCCACAGCTTTGACCAAATATCCTGTGATGGAGTTTGAGATATGCCTTTTTTGGTATGTGAAAACACAGTTATTTTTCAAAATCTTCTACTGACATATAAGAAATCTTCAAAATTAAGAAGCAGAAGAGCACTATGTTTCTTGGAAGCACTCTACAATCAGCATTTATCAGTAGCAGTTTGGAAAGATCCTGTAATTTATCACCAACAACACAATGAAAGACAAGACAGGAAGTTATGATACATTTATCAAAATACTGATCTGACAAGGCAGATCAGGAATGGCAAGAGTAATTAACAAAAACATTTCCTGTAATTTACTATTAGGAAAAAACCCACCACACTCAATTTAAATGGTCTTCTACAAAGAACTGCAAGTAAGAACACTGAGTTACAGAAACACATTTTAAAGACACATGAATCTATCAAACTATTTGACTTCTTTCTTCAGGAGGTTTAAATTGTGTGAAGTACCCAGGAGATGGTATTTTGTGACAAAGCACTTCAGAGGTTAAATTACAAGATTAGTAGAGGTACAGAGAAATTCTAAAAAATAAGTAAAATAAAAAAGCCCATAGGTTTTTAAAATCTCAAAATTCAGGTATTTCTAGTTCAAAGGAATAAAAAGCTTCTATAAGCATTTTTTCTTTTGAGTCAGATGCTTAAATATACCCCATTTGATTGGCACCATGACTGCCAAACAGTTCCCTAATACTGCTTAACTACATGCCACTGCAGAATACTGCACTAAATTTAAAATTTCTCTTCATACATTCTTGTATTTAAATGGAACTGAAAGGAACTGAAAAAATTATCAGTGCAAACTTTAAACAAAAGCACCAGAAAGTGGACTTGGCAGTGCTAGGTTAACAGTTGGACTTGATGATCTTAAAGGTCTTTTCCAACCTGAACGATTCTATGATTACTATTGTTACAATCATCATTTTCTTCTGGAAAAAAAAGGTTAAAAAAAAAAAAACAAAACACCACACCAGCTCCATGCCAGTATTACACTTTTTGCTCTTGCTCACACTAATAATGACTCCCTGATTTGGTCTATTACTATGTAATTAGCTACTGATAAAAAACAACAGAAGAAAAAAATTGGTACAGACTTTTTTAGTTTTGAAAGCTTAATTGCCAAAATGCTAAAAATGACAAAAAAGAAGTCTGAAACAATGGAGAGGTCAAACACACAGAACATGTCTCACATGTTACTTGGTCAAACAGTGTCTTGAAGTTCATTTAAGAAAAATTCTGTGTAAAAATCTTGCAATCTATGCAAAAATGTTCTGAAATCTACTATCAAAACTTTCTTTCCAAATTTCCAAATTTCTAAATTGCTATTGCAAAAACTTTTGGCATGATGCACTGGAAACTATTTCTAGTAAGTGTGTGACAGAGTATTTCTATATGCATAAGTTTGCTTTCCAATAAAGACAGCAGTGGTTTCAGCCACCAGAAAACTTGTAATGTAGGTTTTGACTCAACTGTAGGGGGAAAAGGAGATGTATATATTTTTGCTCTTAAGTGTACTTAGAATTCTTACAGTCTTTTCTCTTTCATGATGTCAAAAGATGCTGCCATATTCATTAGCGTTGGTAAGCAGTGCAGGTGATGGCTGTGAGAATGAGGAAGAATTGTGTTTGCCTAAAAAACAACAGAAGATCAGTTAGAATAACCTATTACAACATTTTCAGTCATCTCTTTAGGATCAACAGTTGAAGAATCTACCACTTTTCACAAGATTTCCACAAAGGCATGACAACAAAGCTACCTTTTGCATAATGTCAGAGCAATAATTACACATACCATTTTTAATATTTGATCTAACTAATCGATCTGAACTACAGTTGAATTTCAGATTTCAGAGCCTTCTAATCTGTATTGTTTGCATCGGTGTTTTTTTAAGTGGTAACATGCAAAAACATGTAAAGTATCAGCTATCCTAATGTCATGTGTATAAAAGTACTAAAAAAATCTAAAATCAGAAATACAATTTAAGCTGATGATTTGTATTACAAACTTTCTGCACGAAAAAAAGATCTGGTTAATTAATATAACTTCCTAAGTTACTAGACATTTAATTGCTTTTGTTTTGGGAAACATAGGTAGTTCTGCAAATATTTTTGGAAACTAAAGAATAAGATAAAGAAATTACATCAGTCTCTTAAAGCTAAATAAAAGTACAAATATTTGTTGAGTATTTTGATAAACAGTCATATCTAACTAATGAATCATCTCTTCAGAAAACCAAAAAATACCTATGCTTTGCATCATACTCAAATGTCAGTAACAGTCACTCCCTTTCAAAAGTACTCTGGAAACCAGAAAAATAGCATACATTATTACAGATTCCTCTTTTTGAACTACATGGCTGACTGAATACTCAAGAAATTCCACCAATTATTTAAAGAAAAATCACTGAAGAGACTAAAGAACAGGTTTGTTGTGGTTGTGACCCGTGCCACTGAGCTAGGATGCTGTAAATCACTGTAGTAACAAGCAATCCTGTATCTGAAGACTGTGATCTTGTTTTTTGGAGGATTGAGCACCACTGAAACGAGTTGACAGTCTGAAGATACAGACTATGTCTGATACAAAAATTTGAATATGACTTAAGACGAAGTTGTATTTCACAATCTTACCATTTCTTATCAAGTAGCCTATTTGGAAAAACGATTTAAAAAACCAGAAGAAAACTGATCAAAAAGTGCTCTGCTGCATATGCTATTCTTGTCATCTTGAGAGGATGTGAAAAATAAGAGAACTGTTTTGCAAGAAAGGTAACTCGTATCACTAACAGCTCCTTGGGAGGCTGAAAGGTAGCACTGGAGTGTATATGAAAACAATAATATCATCTCTATACCAAAATAGTTTATGTTAAGAGAGAAAAGCTACTGTATGTTAGGTAGAGTGAGGCAGAACGAAGAAAGGTCCCTTCAGCTTCTCTGCAGCATTGGCTACTCACAGCAGTGCAGAAAGAGCACTCCACCAAGTTGGAGTTGCCTGAATGAATGATATCAAGTGCCGCAGCCACATCAAGCTGAACATGAAAAGTTTCATCTGCCTAGCCTGTGAGGCAGAAAGCCAAACACACTGCCAGAGGGCTACCATAATTCTAAGAAAAGCAAACATCTGCAATGGTCCTTTTCCCAAACACAGTAACTGACTAGTGAATTTGCAGGACTCCAGCTTAAAAATACAACTGGCTATTGGGGCAAGGAAGTATATTGGTGAGAGTTTGAGAGCTGAGGATTATCTTTGGAGAAGAACACTTTCAATGCTTTCCAAATGGCCCTCCTATTGATTCATACTGTTTTTAATATATGAAGTGCCAAAAGACGTCATGTAAATTAACCCCTTATTCTGATGAAAAGTAGATGTTTCAAGTTTGTAACACAAACTCAAAGCTATAACAGGAAATATCTATTTACCACTAGCTACTAATACTAATTATTCTCAGCAAAAAGTTTTACTTACCATGTGCAAAAGTTCTCCTAAAAGGATAGTTGCTCTAACAGATACGTGGTCATCACTACTTGTGATCACTTCAACCAGACCCTTCAAAAAGTTAAAAAATTATTACAACATTTAATGTAAAACATCTTATTTTAATGTTTATAGAAAAGAAGTAGCAAGCATCTATTAAAACTTGATCATTAGTTATACCTCTAGAAGTCCATTGGTAATAAAAGCTGAAAGCACTAACGCCAAATAATTATCCATGAGATCAGGCCTAAGGAGAAAAAAGTATGAAAACAGTTTAGAAAGTTCATTTCTTATTGTGTCTGCAAGAAAATAAGAAATATTTTGCCAACAACACCACAAAACACAAACAAAGGATTAGTCTAAGTATTAAATGCTCACCTTGACCTGGCTCGATGGGGTAATATAGTTTTAGCTTCAGCAGCTACAAAGCCATCAGAAAGTCTCCAGCAGTCCTGAAACCTGCTTGGATCTAGAACAAGAACATATGGACAATGGTAATTATAACATTGGATTTCATAGTGTCATTTTAATGGTTGTCAGTCGGTAAATAATAGTTCTTGCCAACAAATGTTATTTCAGGTTTCAAATTATAAAGAACTTTATCAGAAAGGCTCTCCAACAAGTCATCTAATCCACACTCCTGAACCAAGGAAGGCTAACTTCAAAGCTAGGACAAAGATTGTATCTAAGTATCAACCAAAATAATGACATTTCCAATTCATGAACACATTAAACTTGTTTAACAGAAAATAATACCTAAAATTTTAAAATGTACATCCATATGTCACAAAGTAGCAAGTTTGTAACAAAGAATGATTTCTTTACTTATAAACGCAGGACAAGGATTAAGCTTTTATGATCAACTGCATGACAAAACATTTGTAACCAGAGTCTGGAGAAGAGCATTGCTGGAACATTAAAGGCTGAAACATGCTCCTTTTGGGCTCACACTTTCGCACTGTGAGACAAAGCAGACAATGCTCTTGGGTTTACAAAAAGAGTAATTCTGAAGATAAAAGACTAACTCTGCTAAATATGAAAAAGCGTACATTTGCCCTAGGAAAAGTAAAAGCATACACTTGCTCTAGGAAGAGTAAAAGTCTGCTGAAGTGCAGTGGAGACAGCTAGCAGATACACAATATATAGAAAAGACTGTTTAATAACTTTTCTGTAATATTCACTAGCACTTCTACATTACTAATGCTTCTAACACGTCAAAGAAGTCTAATCTGTAGTAATATGTTTACACGGTCTTTTGTGTAAATGCTCCATTATGCTCCACTGCTGATCTTTTAGCAAACTTACAACACTTAACAGTTGATAAAGAATTTTAAACAGGACTTCAGAGCACCCAATTAATTCAGTCATTAAACAGTTAATATTGATGTAATTTACAATACTGAGGAGACAGTGAAGGGTTCAAATTTGTAGAAGAGCTTAATAGACAGAATTCTTATGTGAACTGGTGCAAAATACTTACCTACACTGAGAAGTGCTTCAATAAATTCTTCTGCAATAACAGGGAGAGGAAGGCGAAATATATCATAGAGAACTTCAAGCAGACCTCGCTACAACAACAAAACAACGCAACAGGAATTTTATAGATTTACAAAAATTGTCCTTTTGTTCGCTATTAATATTAAAGTTGAGATTTCTATAGAGTGCTAAAATTGGTGAATTTGTTTCAGTGGGTTTTTTTGATAACATGCTTATTTTCATAAACTGAAATAACTTGGAGAAGAGAAGAAGCGAAGGGGCTTATTTACTTTAGAATCATGCTTATTGTTACTATGAATTCTACAGAAGCTCAGGCTAGTTGAATTAAAGATTTTTAGAACAGTTACTGCTGCCACCATCAACCTCTTGGTTTAACTGGTAATTGGGAGGAAACATTTTTATTTATCTTGGATTTAACTCTGATTATTATGCTTTAAAGTCACAAATGCAGCTACTGTGAACTTGCTTTGACTTGTGACCAGAGTAAAAGTTAATTTATGTACTTTTCTCTCCTCCATTGCCTCCTCTCAGACATACAGGGTGTGCTTCCATTCTCACAGGAATTTTATAATGGAATTATAGACTTGAACTTGGGGGTCAAATAAACTTGAGCGTAGTGGTCTCATAACTGGAGTCTGTGTTTAAACCACTAAATTGTTAAAATGTTAAGAATATGTTAATTAAAACATCTAATATTATTCCTACATCAGTACTAAATATTTACTACCTACCCGTATTTCCATATTTGGTATACAGAGTACCCCAATAAGAGACTGAATTCCAGAATTTCCAGGTTTGCACAGGCTGATAATACCTAGAAAACATTAAATACGTAACAATATTCCCTCAAACAAAAAAAGCATTAGACACATTGTTAAATTTGATTTCCAGTTTGAATACGAGCACAGATGATAAAAATTACTAATCATAAACATTTTCACCTTTATAATGTCATCTCCTTTCCAATCAATAATATTTCACAAAACTTTCAAATCACAGAATTTTGTTTTCTCATTAAAAACCATAGCTATTTTTGCCCTTTCTACTGTGAACAGTATTCTCAAATTATCTGCTAAAGCAACATTTACATGGAAGAAATGGCATAAAAAAAAGATAAAATTGTCAATAAAGAATGAATCATAAACCTGAAAGATGTGCCTCATCTTGGCAGAACTGGGAGAAGTTTCTCCATCAAAAGCCGTATCTTAACCTAACAAATTATTCAGTTCCTTTTAATCTCAGGTGAATTCTAAACAGCAAGTTTAAACATACTTCTCTGTCCACCATTTTAAACCACCTTTTCCCAAACAAGCAGTGCTCATCTCCAGAAGTTTCAACACAGTAGATTTAACTTTGCATAAAATCTCAGAGCCTCTCTTATAATTTGGTCCTTTTACACTATATTTTTAATATTTCAATATTAATAGGGAAAACCTTCAAATTATTTCTAAATGTTACAAAATACCACCTAAAGCTTACACTGATTTTCGGCCTCAATTTATATACAGTCTCTTCATTAAAAATGTGGCTGCAAAGACAGTAACCTTGCTCATTTCACTTCTCTTCGTACTTCAGAGAATAAATTAAAACTTACAGAAACATGCTATCCAGAAAACAAACAAGCTTCTCCAAAATGCAACTTTAAATGAACAAAAAGAATCCAGGTTTGCACACCTTTTTGTCTTACATATCATAATTAAACCCAAACTGCCATTCTTTAAAAATTCCTAAAAGATGAAAAATATCACCTACTCATCTATTTATTTTCACTAATACAAATTTAACTTTAATGACATGTGCTTTATATGAACTTGAAGGAAGTCCTCAGTTTCAAAACTTCCACGTCACAAAAACTTAGGACACACATGTGGCCACAGACACACTAAGGGCATTTAAATATGTTCCACACTGCACCTCAGAGGCCTTTTCCAAGAGCATATAGTGGCTACATCCCAATTGCAATGCAGGAATGATTTGGGTGCTGCATGCCCCAATTTTATCTCTAAGGACATGACTGCACATGAGGATAAAGGACATAGTAACCATCAGCTCTGAAGAATAACCCAGTCTGGAAAATAGTAAAGTAAAATTTCCCTCCAATCATCCAGCTTCAAACAAACAAAAAGAAATCTTACCTGCCCATGATCGAAATGCTGCCACTATTCCCATTTTACTAGCTAGGAACCGTGCTTCTCTGTCCTCCCTGTCATTAAAACAACAAATGCCACAATACAGTTAATTACTATAAAACAGTGTTACTAACATAGCAAGTAAAAAGTAGTTAACTGAGAGTTTTAGATGGGGGACAAAATCCAGAGCGAGAAATCTTTTACATATGCATACATGTGTGTAAATGTATTATACAATGTGTATACATACACACACGAGATTAGAATTTTTAAGTATTGTTACTTTTTCTTTTTCAGGGGAGTTTCCACGGTAGGAGGATAACACCACAAAGTAAACACCTGTAAACATACATAGATTAATCACTCTGTACCTCCACTGACAGTAAGCCTATGGCAGAGACCTAAGGATTTGGACCTTATTCAGTTACCTAGACCTAAGCATCTAATGCCATTTGATAATTAAAAACCTGAATAATTCAAGTTGGAAGCAACCTCAGGAGGTCTCTAGTCCAGACTCCTGAAGACACAAAGAAGTTGTCAGCTATGAGACCAGATCGGGTTATACTCAAGGCTTTATCCAGTTGGGTCTTAGAAACTCCCAAGCATGAAGGCTACAGGACCTCTCCGGACAGACTGTTCCAACACTTGACTGGCCTCACAGAAAATTCCCCCCGCCCTTATATCAAGTTGGAACCTCTCTTGTTTCAATTTCTCTCTGTTGCTTCTTGTCCTCCCACCTTTCACCACCATGAGGGGCCCTAGCTACATCTTCTTGATAACATCTTCACAGGTATTAGTAAGGTTGCTATTCGGGGGAGGGTGTCCCCCAACCTTCTCTTCTCCAGGCTAAACAAGCCCTTTTAAACCTTAAATGCTTAACAGTATTTTAGGAAGTTGCACTTTAACCTCCTGTATTCAACCTCAAGCAGTTTAGTATTAGGTCATTGCTTTTATTTTCACTTTGGAAAGAAACATAGTATTATTCCAATACCATGAACAAAACTGGTAGCACAAGTAGCAGCACTAACACTTACTTGAGTTGTCCTTCTGCTGTGTCTGGATTATGCCTGTAGTGAAAATCTGTGTAAGGAGCTAAAATTCGCTAAACAAAAGAAAGACATGCATTACTTTCACATGAGAATACAGTTAAAAGGGTCTTGCCATTTCCTCAGTCCCACTCCAATCTGTCACGTTATTCCTGCTTTATAAATCATTATGGTCTTAGCCTAAGATGTAATATTTTAAACATTTTGCACTAACACAGAGGGTGAAATCTGAGATGAAAATTAAGCATTTTGATTAGTAATACAATGTTTAATTTCTGTCACTAAACAAGTAAAACTGAACCCACCTCTAATTCTACATCTGCTCGCACATACTGTCGGGTCTTTGGATGATTAATGAGGTGCAAAACTGTAGTTATCAGAGCCTCATTTATTCGGCTTAGCTGACAATCAATCACATTTTTCAAGATGGTACTTAAACCACCCCGAAGAGCCACCACCTCGGGATTCTGAAGTGCTAAATAAAGAGAAACACGTCATTTTGGCCAGGGATAGGAAAGAAAACATTTCATGGCTTCCAATATGACAAACTTGTTGTCTCTTTAGTACGTGTATCTTTTTCTTCCTGAATAGCGCTGAGGCACATGTAAAGCTTTTAATGGAATTGACTGATGTTAGCAATGAATTGACATTTTCGATTAATTTATCATGAACAAAAACAATGGCCAGTCAGTCACCGCTGTGCAGCAATTTCTCAATTTATTTCCAACCAAGTTTCCATACAGCAGTTTCTGGATCTCCCTGCAAGAAGGTTTTGTGCTTAACTGGACTGACATGGATAAAATAATTATACTAGAATATAAAAGAGTAACAGATAGTTTATTTCTTTAAAACAGAAGTTTGTGTCTTGAGAACATTGCTGAAGTTATTTCTCATTGATTGATTTTGAAAAAACTTTAAAAATCAGTACCCACATGCAAGTATATGGAGTTAGTATAAACCACTGTCCAACTAGCCTTTAAATGGACACAATAGTGACTTCCAGAAGCCAGCTAACCACAGTACCCACTGTAAAAAAATTTTAAAGGAAGATGTTTTGTAGAGTTCTCTGAACTCTTGTATATTTGTCAACATCTCGTGTATGGAATTCTCCCTGCTTCCAATCCATTAGATTTAGAAATATCCAACTGCAGCAGGGAAATGTTTTTAAGGTAAATCAAAAATTGGCAAGTCTTAAAGGAAAGAACAGCACCTGAAATCTTCAGGTACTTCACTTAAGAGATTTTAAGTTAAAGTGACTTTGTTTTCTCTCAAACTAATGACTAAAATCCATGAAACTGACATTAAGAACATTTAAAATCTCAATCATTATTGAACAAATACCTTTAATACTTGAATACAATCTATTTAATACAAACCCACAAAAGAGAATCTCTTAGAAAACTGATGACAACCATGTCAAAATTTTTCTTAATTAGCTTTCAGTTATCTTACCTAGTTCACAGATAATGGCTATACACGCTCGAACCATTCTGTCTCTTTCTTGAAGACCATCATTTCCAACTGCTATCAAAGAATTAGTAATAGAACTGGGGAACAATGAAGCATTCACAGTGATCATCTGCCAAAAATGAAAGAAAAAGCCCTCTTGTTTCTTCATAATATTTCTCTAAATATACTCCCAGATTCACCAGCGTTCTGTTTCCTAGATACAGACAGACCACTCCATGTATTACTTGGTTGTATCTGGCAAATCCTCAAAACTTTTTCTTTTGTTCTTGAAATTCTACATTTGTCAATTTACTTTACCATTCTCTTCCTGCTTCAGTTTTTTATTTTTATATTATTTTATCATAATAGGAAAGGGTTAAAAAGATGACTGTTGCAGAGAGAACTATGGCTAGCTTTTTCATATTTTTTTTCCAAGAATTTCTTTATTGACAAAGAATGCTACCCAATGACACAGAGTAGATTACAAGCTCTTCTAGAAGATTCATTCATACTGCAGCAGATTCTTCAATAACTATTCAACTGTTTAATTAGCCAAGACTAAAATCTCCTGTTTGGTAGACAGATCCTTAGATTGCTGCAGACTACAAAAAATGACAGTCAACAGAAGCTGCTACAGTATCTGGAAGGCAACTGTCAGTAACACCCCTACATCCTCTTGCATAGTACCTCATCTTCCTAGAACAGGAACGTAATTCAACTTCATTGTAAGTTATATAGCTATGGCACAAAAAACACACCACACACGCACCCCCCTTTAAACATGTTAAACTGAAAAGCAAGGATGAGAACAAGACCTGCGTCCATTAATTAAGTCATTCTACAATTAAAAAAAAAATTGCAATAAATTTGAGACAGAATAGAAGAACAGATTTTTATAGCCAATGTTCATTTAAACTACTGAAGAGGTCCTGCACCATGGAAATCCTCAGCTGCTAGTTTAAGACAAGCAGAATTTACACCAGATTAAGGAGCAAGGCCCTGTGCACACATCAGAGGCAAAAAAAACCCTCCAAAGCAACCAACCAATACCACCACTCCTCACCCTCTCCCAAATGAGGCTTTGACTACAAAGGCTGAGTAGCTGTTCACATTTTTTCATACTTTGCGAAAATTAAATATACATACCCTCTATACTATGGAACGTGAACATCACTGAACAGATGCATTACTAAGGAGGAAGTAAGGTTTTTTGTCTGGTGGCTTAAAAAGGGAACAACGTAATGTGTTACAGCCCACTCAACCATGTCACATTTTTTTCTACTAATAAAAGTGAGATGTAAAAAAAATACTCAATATCCATCAAAGACTTAAAAACTTAAGGCTAGTTTTCCAAGATTTTCTTTAATACTCCTTTTGTTTCCAACAAAAGCAGGCTTATCTTCATGATTTTTTCCAAAATTGTTTTGTCCTACATTCATTTTACAGCCCCCTTTCATGTCTTATAGATATTCATTCAGACAATTGTTTTACCCTCTTTGCAGAGGGTAAATGAGAAGAAATCAGCCTTTACGACAAATATACCGGAACACTTTAACAAGTTTATTTTTAAGACCTGTTTTTGAGAAACTTCTTGTGATACATAATGTTGTCACCCACAAAACAGGAAGCTTTAAGATAGGACTCTAAAGAAAAAACAAACTCTACCCCACCCACGCAGTCTTTCACTTTTACAATGGCATGAAGTAACAAGAATTAGCAATAGAATGGGTGTACAAATCCACTCTACAAAATTATAACCTTTTTTCTACTGATATTGACAACTACTTAGTGTGAGGACACAAGCAGCCTCTTAAGGCTCTTCTGCTTCATTGTTTTCTTTGGTTTTAAAACATGAGAAGGAAAGATTTCTTTCTTTTACTATTCAATTCCAAGTACATTAGTAGAATAAATACAAACTTTTGCATTGGCTTTCATTCTGCTCTAGGTATTGAAATGCAGTTCTAAAGACCAAGTACAGGTGATGCAAGGCTACTTACAAGCAGCTATGATCAAGTAAGTAACAAAGACTATGAATTTGGTCTTTAAAAGTTTCTTTCAAAAAAGATGAAGAAAGATGGTGGTTCATATTGTACCTAACTCTGACTTCTGCTTTGAAAATAAAGCATCCTGCATATTAAATTATTTAAAAAAAAAGGTCTTATTGACTCTTATTAGATGGAAAAATGCTTTCTGACCCAACTTTATGCGATCCTTTTCATGGCTGAAGACACTACTAAACTGCAAAACTCTTATGAGGAAATGTAGAGGTGATTACAGTCAAAAGAGACAGAGAGCATTCAAGTCCTTAAAAAAAAATCAGAAACCAAGTTTGAAGTTGTTTGTCTTTTCTCTTCCTATACTAGTTTAACCTGTACAAGTTTTTTAAACAAGTTTATCATTAAGTGTCTTCTAAATTCATAAAACAGGATTAATATTTTATATTTTGTTCTTCTACTCTATGAAAAGGAAGAGAAGAAAGCAAAAGAATGTTTTAATCTTAAAGTTTTATGTATATGCTATTCCTACATAGTGCATTTTTGCTATCAAAGACGAGGTTTAAGAATTGCATCCAGACTTTGAAACGGAAAACAATAGTTCTGTGATGCTGGTGGAACCCAGTTCAGCTCTTCCATGGCTCACAGTAAATTGTCTCCTGCACAAATGAATTAACTCTGATTGCTTTATTTGCCATTCATTCTCCTCTTCTTGACCTTTATATAATCTTTTAGGAATCCTGGTATCAAACTACTGAGTCTCAGATATTGAGGAAGATGAAGAGAGACGGGAAAAGGGCAAGAGCAGGGTAACAAAGGGACAGTGTGAAAATACAAGAAGTGCCATTCAGGATATGTGTCACAGCATTCCTTGTGAGACAGAATTTCTCAAGTATTGACTGCTCTATGTCAATGCATGCTTAACTGCTGTAGCCCTGACAGAACATGAAAAAGGTATTAACTTTACGGTAGCCAGGTTGGGTGGCTTTTTGTTTGTCTTTTATGAAACGACGATTTTCTAGGTAGCAAAAGATGTTAGGAAACATCTTTCATCAACATAGTTCTCAGCATCGAAGAACCATCAGTATCCCTGTATAGCAAGTATATTCCACGCAGGTACATCCCATGCACAGCACCGTTGTACAATGACGGAGGGGAAAAAAGGACCACTGGTGGCCAGTGGTATGATTTTTTAATGCTTATCTTTCAGGATCATTTTTTCAAATCAAACTAATGCATTTATTTCTCTTGCTTCCTCTTGTTCCTTTGAAGCAAGACAGAAGTCTTTGCTCAACTAGGAAATGCTCAAAAAAAGCCCAGGAATAATGAGGACAAATTTCTGAACCGAATAAAACCAATTCATTATAAATGTGTTTCCATTCCATCTTCTGATTTAAGTTATTCTGGCTCTACATTGAAGCTCTTTTTCTAACACACATTAGCAAAGAACTTTTATAAAATCCGACTTCCTCAAGGACCCATTCCTTTATGGTTGTGGGTTTTGTTTATTTGGGTTTGGGGAGGGGGAAGGGAGTGTTTAAGCCTTAAAACTATCTTTTTGGTGCAATTGTTAATCAAGCATATTGTCTCTTCTGTAAGACAGAAACCATGTGATCTCATTATAAAAAAAGAAACTGCATATCAAACATCCACATTTTCAACCTAAATATATATATATTAAAAAATACATATACACACAAAACAGACTAAACACACATAGTGCTCCTGGGGAACCATTCTTCCAACTACTTCCAACTTTACTCGAGTCTTTGGTAGTTTTTTTCCTAAGATGCTTAGTAGAAGAATATAAGCACAATAAAGAATAGTAAGGTCCAGTACAAAGGCAGAATACTATGTTGCCTCAAAAAAATACCTTCAGTAGCTCTATGTGCCAGTTTCTCTAGGATGAACTTGAAAATGCAGCTACCACAGCTTCAAACATCTCACATCTGTGGGTACACAGTACAGTAACCACCACAGACTAACTATGTCTTATTGTGTATCTGAGAAAAGAACTATGGATAGCATCAACCTCTATGGATAAAGCAATAAGGCTACAAGCATTCCTTCAACTTATTATTCCAGCAATGGCAATTCGCCTCATTTCTCAAATGGCAGAAAATCTCCCATCTTTGATTCACAGATCCTCTAACACACTACACAATAAAGTTAAATCATTAGATGAAACTTAATAATATGGTTCTTATACCCTTGCATTCATCATTTGATAAGTTTTTCCCAAATCTTGTCCAGTATGATCTCTATCAAAGGAAAATTAGCAGGATTTTTCTAGCCTACTTGAGATTCTCAGTGGTAAGAGATTAAAATCAAAACAACTCTCAGCACTACCCTTCCTTCTCTCTTTTGAATTATCAGCTCTAATTTTTTCTCACATGACAAAGTAAGGTAAGGTATTAGAGACTGTGTGGAAAAAAAACTGCTGATGGAGAAAACCAGGAGTCAGCACAACCCAGTGGCATAGCTGATAAGACCATATATAGTTATATTTTACCTTTCTGACTAATCGAAGTGCTTGAGTTCTTTCTACTTCATTACTCTGCTGTATGTCAATGCACCTAAAACAAGTTAAAAAACACATTTTGTTTATAACAACACTTTCACCTTAACTGTTAACATCTTGCATTAGTATTTATGCAATTGAATAAAGAGAAGAAAGAATATTGTTTAAAAATTCTACCCTTCAGCAAGCATACTCATTATAATTGGTCAATTAGCTTTGGTTTATATTTTTTTCAGTTATCTTCATTACAACTAAATCACTAGAATGTTCTCAAATATACAATGGCAAGGCGTAACAGCTTCAACAAATATTTTCTGAGCTAGCTGCATTTGTCATTTCAAATGAGACTAAACAAAGTATTTGTAATGTTTCACATCAACGTTTTGTGTGTGTTCTCAGATCAGAAAATTCTTTTTGGTCCAACAAAATTAAACAGCACACTAAAACTGAATGGGTGTGTATACTTATAAACAGAAACACACACATCTGTATCAGTATATTAAATCCAACAAGATTTTAACAAAGGAAGCACTAGAAATGCTAATATTTACATCTACTCATCATGCTGATCTTATTATGTCATTGTTAGTTTGCCCTTTGGTATTCTTCTGTAGTGTCATGGGTCATACTTAGATTACAAATTCTTGGGCATGAACTACTTGTTAGCCCTGACTTTGTACTAGACGATCTGAAGAGCTATGATAATAAAAAGAATCAGAACAACTCCCATAAAACAACGTAAGACATGAAAATTACTGATGTTTCAACCTTTTAACAACACCACAGATTAATTTATGATTAATGGTATTTATTATTGAAAAACACAGGTTTTTTAGATTACTTGGAGTACACCATATATTAGGACAGCATTTTACTGGATTAGCTGGTGTGATGCATTATCCTTCTATTTCTAAAGGATGTTATTCATATTGAAGAAAAATGGCTTTCATAACACCACCTATCAAGAATGTAAGAGGATACAGAAACACCTTTTCTCAGCTGTCTCAACCATGAAAAAGCAAGTGATTTACAATTGTACAATTTACAACAAGAAGGAAGAGAAAAATTACCTGGCTATCAAGTAATCCACTTTCAACTTTAGCACCTTCTGGAGAATACTGGAGTCTCGAATGAGATAGCGGAGGGCTCGCAATCCTGCTGCTCGCACCTCTTTTGCTTCATTTAGTAAAGCTAACCTCAGACTACAATGAAGAAAACAAGAGGGACAAACATTTATTTAGCAGTAGGTATACTTCATCATCTGACATGCAGCTAGTACCTACTCATTTAAAATAAAAAGTCTGACTTTTAAAAAAAGAAATGTTCTGCATTAATTGTCTGGCTTTGAGATATTCACCTGTACAGCCTAGAAGGCAGACCTTCACCCTGCAAGCAGATGTAGACAATATATTAATCTGAAAAAGCCACAAACCAGGGTTTCTTCCCCCAAAGAACAGCTTGTACATCCACGAAAAGATACATGACCAAGACCTGTACACACCTTGTTATTTGACAAAACAGCTCAGCACAATATTAGTCCAAGAAAATTAACAGGTAGAGAGCATTTCCTCCTCTGCTAGCCTCTGCTAGACTGCCAAGCCATAAGTATGAGCCCTCAAAACCATGTCTTGACACCTAATAGAGAGAAATTTGCACCCTAATTAATTATATGCACCACTCACTAAAGATGTTATGGCACCATGTTCCGTTTACATGAAATATGACAGTGTCATAACTTAAGCAGCCCCACATAGCACAGATTTCTACAGATTCCATCATTTGAACATATAACCAAAGTGTATTTGTCTTTAGACAGATTTTGAAAGCATTTTGCTTGCACCCAGGGGAGCTCTCCTAAGCATAACTGTCATCATAATGTAACTTCCTAAATTCACTATCTAGGTAAAAACAAATGAGACACTGAAGGCCTCCAGAGATGGAGTCTGAAGGTATTAAGTGACACACTGTCCTTCTGAAGGCCCTCAAAAGATTTGCCCCTTTTCCTTCACTACATGGTGAGGGGGGAAACCCCCAACCTCCCAGTGACAAATTTTTAGAGGATTCCAGTGAGACTGAATTTCTACATATACAAATGGCTTATTTTTTTCTTTTCTTATTCCAGGATCGTCATGCATGGTAATCGGCTACCCCAAGGCCAAAAATCTTCTGAATCTTTCTGGAGATTAAACTGGCCTGTGTAAAAGTCACTATAACAGGAACCTACTTCCAGGTAATATCTAGACAAAGCAGAAAGGCTGCAATACTATATCCGAATAAAAATGAACTGATTATTACTTTCAGCACCAAGCAGGGAATTGCTTCAGGAAGACCATCTTTGCTGTAATATCAAATATGATTCTTCACATAAAAATAGTGCCACTAATTGCCTTTATTTATTTACTTTAAGCTGAGCTAGAAGCAAATAAGGAACAGATTCTCAATACTGTGAGGTTAAGAAAAATTCTTCCTCTAAAAACAGCTGTACTAGAGGAGAGATTTATTCCCCTAGTCATTCAAGAAAAGCGGGTAACTAACTGTTCAATTGTGCTGCGTAGATAATAGGTATTCTTTAGATCACGAATCATGCTTTGTTTCTAGTTTTGCAGCTTTGCAGAGATGGAAGTCTGAGGGATGAGCACAAAATAAGTTCTACTCAATTGTATTTTTCTGTTTGGACTTTTACCTCACAGTTTACAGTTGGTTTGAATATGCCAGTTTAAGACACTTCAGCAGAGTTTCCTTTTAGGGCAGAAGTTACCCATTATGCACGCAAACGGTGTTGTTGCTATCCATGACATTTCTTATTAGGACAGCCAAATACTGAATCTGGATTTTTTTCCCCTCATCAAGTAAAGTACATGACTTTTATATTTCAGAGGAAAATGTTTCTTGAATGGCAGACAAAAACAATCTTTAGACAAATAGTTTCTCAAAAGCAATCAATGCTTTGAAACCTTGTTCTACAACTCACAAGAGGAGGATATTCTTAATTTGTAGACAGAAGTTAATTTAAGAATTGGCAACAGTGAAACCACTACAAAAAGACAACACTATCATGAGATTCAACATTCAAAAGCAGAAGGTACCAAAAAGGGATGTGTCACTATCTTTAAATAGTGAGAATGCAATGAAAATACATAGCTAGCCAGAAAGATATAGGCCTAAAATTAAGGCCATAAAAATCCATGACGGTCCAATGAAAGCAATGACATATAGAGGGCTGAACAAAAATCTCTTCATAAAAAAACGAAAACTAAACAAAACCACTTACCAGTCAATGACTGAACTGCAAAAACCTGAGAGAAACCTGACCTTATAAAGACAATGAAGATATGCTACAGCAGGTAGAAAAAAAAACACATGTAGGAAAACCTATGTGCATCTGTCTGTATGTGTCTACGTGTTCTGACTTCACAGCTGTACCACAAAGAGAAAACTTGAAAAATTAAAATTGGACCCACTGCACAAGCCAAAAGGAAAAGGAGAAGGAATGAATCAAGGAAGAGACTGATAGAGATATGACAAAAACAAGCATTTTCTTCACACTAAGTCATTGCTTTAGGTATCTGCATGAAGATTCCTACCCTAAAGCCTTTTTTATCATACAGAATATGAGTTAGACTAAGAAGTGAAAATGATGGAAGAACTGGAGGAAATCTATCAGTAAATATTGTCAGCAGCCCACCAAGGTGCTGCTTTCCATCTAAGTGTTTGGAAAGAACATTAACAGGAGCTATCTGCATATATTTGCTAGCACCGTATTATAAACAGTAGCTGCCAAGATGGAAAAAAGGTGATAAAAAGGTCTATATAAAAAGGACTCCAAAGGGCATCCAGAGGACTGTTTATGATCTTAAAATAAAATCACATTAAAATAAAAACAGTTAGCCCTGTGAAGCACCCAGTAGCGTTTACACAAACTATATTCTACTAATCTTTTGAAAGACTGGAAAGGAATTATCACAATAGTGTATAAAAAGGCATAAGGTGTTGCTGAAGACTGTATTAAGGGATATAAAGAGATTATAGAGTGAGGAACAGTAGTTTCACAAATAAAAATCTGAAAAGATGAATTCAAAGAGCAGAGGTGAATCGAAGATTTTATCCTGACAATTTTTGTCCTAATTTTTATCTAGGTTCACGATCGCTTTTTGTAGGCAGTATTCAGTATACAATTCTTGACTGGGGGGACGGAGACGGGGACAGGACGGACAGAAATACAGAAGGCAACGTAGTTATATAAATGAGAATAGGATGGGGTTATGAAAAACTTCAAGGAAACTTAAAAATTATCTGTATGCATAGTTAACAAGATGGTGAAGAAAATTCAAGATTGTTAGATGAGACTTAACGTACATCAAGAAAAAAACCTGTGTTATAAACCCATACTACATGATTCTAAAATAGCCATCAGATCAAGAAAATGATTTTCATGTGCACACTCCACGTGCATCTGTGGCTGAAAGCGCCAAAAAGACATCACGATTGTGATAAGAGAGAACGTAAGCGCAATACTACCTGCCCCAGTATTTCAAGTGTCACTGCAGAAATGAAAATAACTTCCTAAGACAGCATTAAGGCTGATAAACATTAAGACTGATAAAAAGCTGGGAAGAACTAACAAAGGATGGAACAAGAAAGGTTATTCACTACCTATTACAGGATCATTCTCGCACCTTTTTCTAAAGCATCTCATCCATTCACCACAGAACGATAACCATGGTTTTGACAAATCTCTGTTTGATCCAGCCACGTAATTGTGAATATTCTGAAGTTTGCTTTTACGGCCAAAGCCTCTTGGCACATTACTAAAAGACCTCAAAAGTTTCTGAGGCCTACCACCACTCCATTTTCTTCATGGCTCAAGGCTTCCTCTCATCTGTCAATGGTATGATGCTCTGGGAACCGGGAAGACCCATCTACACTGGGAATGACAACAAAATGTGTCACTATTATCTCCATCTGCTGGCAGGAAGAAACTACAATCAGGCACCTGGACTAACAAAATTCTAAAACGAGAATGACTTCTGAAAAACAGATCCCTAACATAAGAATAGCTGCAATTACTGCAGATTACAACTGTCTTTGGTTCGGGTAAATATTCTATCAAGGTTACTGACCCCAAAACCTAGAACTTTATAAGAAATCTACAATTATTCTTGAAATCATTGATACCCTTAGAGTTTAATGCTTTAAGGTTAGCCATTCATACTTCACAAATGCAGAAAACTCACAAAGCATTTCTTGCATCCAAATAACTTTTCATGTTTTCAAGGAAAAACAAGTTTGTTCGATAGAACAAAAAGGTTTCCCTATAGAAATCTAACATAAGGTTGGGAACGTCAGCAGAGCAAATTACAGAACTTGCCTGTTATCTTCAAAGGAATGTATGTACTTAGCCTACCTAAAGGTCATTTCTAAAATTAATTAAAAAGTTCAGTATTTGCAGGTTACTTGCAATGGCTGTATGGCAAACAGAATCTGCAAACAGAATACTACTGCAGAGTGGCTGTAACTCTGTAGAGCAAAATTTTTAAGTTTGCCTAAAAAGGTCTGTTTTTAATGAAAACAATCCATCCTGTAAGTATTTCTGAAGAACCAATCAACATGACTATGGTGGTTAAAATGAGAGTATTTGAGTGGTATCCTTGAGTTTGAAAATTATCACTATAGCGGAATAACCTATATATATATATGCATAAAAAATTTACTTCTCATGTACATACACTGAGGAACCACTGGATGGACCAAAGCAACAACACTAACCAACATAATTTTCCTGATATGTGTCTTTTTTTTTTCTTTTTTGAGAAGCCATTTTTGGCATTTTTCTAAGTAGAGGGCTATTTTTCTTCATGTGTCTGCTGAGAACAACATTTTTATCTCTTCCTTATCAACACCTGTAATTGTGTTTGGATTAGCAGATCTTTCTGCAAACTTCTTCCTATAAAAACAAACACCTGTATTTGCATAACCTTTTAAGACTTGTATTTAAAAATATTTGGTAGACAACTCTGAATTTTGAAGTTATACTCTGAAGTGATGTTTAGTCCCACCATAAAGTACTATAACAGATTACATAAATAAGATCAGAAGAGGATAATCTATTAAAGCTTTCACAAAAATATACTAACATTTTTTAATTTTTTAATTCCAGAAAGGAAAATTACTTCTATTTAAGAAAATAACTTAGAATTATTTCCACAAGAAATTACACAAGTTTTCCCAACATTTTACTGAAAGAGCGACTAGCTTTCCTAATCTTGCTTTCCTAAGTCAGATAAGTAAGTTGAAAGAACACAAAATCATGTTAAATACTAGGTCCTAGTTGTTTCTGCCACCGATGCTGAGCCTCAGGACAAATTTACCAATGTCTGTGTAAAAACACAGAAGTTCTGGCAATAAGCGTGTAGTTACTTTTGACTATCAGAAACAGCAACAAAATACATGAAAATTCCACTTGAAAGTACACAACACAGGGCGTTTTAGTAGCACGGAAAGCAATGCTACAAAGACATATACACACACCAAATTAACCTAAAATGTTTATCTTTAAAACCTGTTTCTAAATCAAGGGTATGCTCTAAATTCTGTAGGTGCATATTTTTACTAAAAGAGGTATTTTTAAATCTATGAGGAATATAATAAAGAAATCCACACTTTTAAAATGGAGGCTTTTTCCCCGTCTTTGCCTGAAAGCAAACAATGTATTTCTGATTTTACTCATTAAAATATTTGTAAGGTATATGTTTGCATTATGAAATTTCAAACACATTAGAAATACAAAATACTCACCCAAAAGTACAAATAAAGTTTATTTAATTGCACCTAGAACAATTAAAGTACCCTAGTATTGCTCTAGCGCACCTTATTACTTACCATATTATGATGCTGTCATACGTAAAACCTAGCTTTTCTTCGGCATGGCCAGTATTGCAAAGAAGCTGAAAATAAAAGAAAACATCTATTATTTATGACTCTTTAAAAATGACAATGTAAACGTACAGATTTCTGGCAATGCTTTCAAAGAAACCTGAGGAAGTTCATTCATGGCAAGGGGAAGCACACCAACTTCAAACTTCCCTAAGAATTTCTGCTGTTAGTATTCTGTTCCTATATACACCAGACATACCCAAATCTGTGGCCTAGAAGAGCCACTAGTTGGACAACTGGTAACCTGAGCAGAGATGGAAAAGACCGAAGTCAAAGCACATCTGCATTCAAAAAGAGGGCTCCAGTGAGAGTTTTGAAGCAAAGATTGACACTGATGGTCCACTCTTATGTTTTGCCACAGCAGCACAGGCGTAGAAAAAAAATAAGAAGGCGTTGCCAATGGTAAGCATCCCATAACTGACATTTGGCCTGGCCTGCCATTGATTCCGTAGAACCTGTACATCTGTGCAAAATCAGTACAAAGTTTGAATTTATGCACTCAAAAAGACACCAATAAACTGTCACAAATTCTGAACCTTTCAGCCGTATCCATTTTGAACACAAGACTTTAGATTTACAAGTGCAGTTTTAACATCCAAAAGGAGCAATCTAGCATGGGCCAATATTTTAGCCTCTTTAGGAAAGGAAAACAGTCTCTTCTGTAAGAAGAGCTGATGCTGTTCTCCTTTGCAAGGGCAGCAAAGAAATTCCTAGTAATCTCACTTACTACCCCTATCTTAAATTATAAAATACTTTATTATCACGCCCAAATCCCAAAGCACTTTTCCAAGCACTTCCAAAAACTCAAGTGACTAATACTGATTGCAATAGCTTTGCACTTTGTCCTCTCTTTTCGAAACAGGCATGTGTTCAGTTCTGAGCCAGCACAGTATTAACAGTTTCTCCTCAGTGAGGAATTCAGGAAGTGTTTGTGCTAACGTGAACACCACACTGCTCTGACAGTATTAAAACACATAAAACCCTGTGCCACGTTTTTTATATGTATTTACTGCTTACAATAAGAAATTTATAATAAACTAAATGAACAGTTAAATTAAGGCTACTGCAAGCTGAAATATTTAACATGTTCCATGCTCACATTCCACTGTTCACCTCCACCTGAAAAACCAGTATATTGCACAGAAACTCTGCTTTTAAGTAAATCCATTTTATTAGCATGATGGTTTAAATTCAAACAATACTTAGGTTTATGCTCAACAAGTACAAATTCTTCCAAGGATCACATACATTTTAAGAAATTATTTTTCATATTGTTAGAAAAATGCATAGTGATAATGCTGAAATCCAAAGTTGTTAGTGAGATAGATTATTAAATTGGTCTGGATCAGCTCCATATTTGGGCTCAAATAATATAAGTTAATAGTAATATTTTGGATTTTGCATTTTTCTTAACAGTGGCTATAACCAAAGATTATTATACAACATAAGGAGTTATTATATAACCTCTTTTGCCCCACCTTTCAAATTTAAGTGATAATGAAACTAGACAAATAGTGCATTAACTGGTTATGACAGCATGTCACTTCCTAGTATGAGTCTATTTTTATGCCATGTTTTTGGACTGCCTAAGGCCACCACTGCTGCTTTAGCATTTCTATTGACATCTTATGAACTGTAAAAAATTGGCTGGCAGAGTGCAAGCAAAACAGTGTGAGAAGATAGTGAGTAAAAACATTTCATTGTTCAGTTTCGGACAAGTACATCAATAGTTGTTTAGCCTCACCATTTATACATCTAAACCTCACCCCATCATTCCACCCCAGACACAAGTAAGAAATCCTAATTTAACATAACCAGATTATCCTCAACAGTTTTTTTTCCTACTTTAAAAAAAAAAAAAATCACAGAATTCGAATTCCGATGTAGGAAAAAACATTGGATGATCACCTCATTGCATCTTGAGCGGTCCCGAGATGAAACTAAAGCAGATGACATGTTTCAGGAACCCACCTAACTTGCTGTAATTGCTAAAGAGCATTCAGTTCACTGGACCAGCTCTAGTCTAGTTGTCAGTAATCACTCTTACCAAACACATATGGTGTGGTTATTAGCTACTCAATACCAACTGTTTTCCTCCAAATATGTGCACCCACTGATGTAGTAAGAAACTTGACCTTATCTTGAAACTCAAACATAGTCATGTAACCTGACAATAGTTATTACTTTCATCAAGTTTAACCACTGCATGGATACAAATTTCTGAATGTGATGATAATTATTATCAAAGTGTTTGATGGTGTCTGTGCTTACATGTGACATTTTTCACAGAGAATGAACAAAAAAAAAAATGACTAAAGAAAGTACAAGATTAGCTACTTTAGCTATTAGTTTACTCTCATTCCAGTGGGCCACCATTACTTATGTATTGGTTTCCTTTGCAATTTACACATGGTTGTGTGCTTACAGGATTTCCAGATAGAAAAGAATTTAGAAGATGGACAGCAAGATCAGAATTCAAAATGTTTCAGTGATATGAAAGGAGTGCCTAAACTCAATAAAAAAATTAAATAAAAAGAACAGCGTGTCATATCCTTCAGGGTACCACACATTAATAGACACATAGAACATGAAAGGAGTCCAGCAGAGAAATATAGGATGTCCAGAAAACATTCAGAGTGTTACATACAAAAACAAATTTCAAAAGGAAAGCATGTACCATGTACCGAAAAATGAGCCAGCAGGGAAGAAGATCAGCCTGGCTGAACAGAGAGCTTTGGCTGGAACTCAGGAAAAAAAACCAAGAGTTTATGACCTTTGGAAGAAGGGGCAGGCAACTCAGGAGGGCTACAAGGATGTCGTGAAGTTATGCAGGGAGAAAATTAGAAGGGCCAAAGCCCAGCTGGAACTTAATCTGGCTACAGCCGTAGAAGACAATAAAAAATGTTTCTACCAATACATTAGCAACAAAAGGAGGGCTAAGGAGAATCTCCATCCTTCATCGGATGTCTGTCCGTCTGACCTCGGTGCCAGGGAAAGTTATGGAGCAGATCATCCTGAGAGTCATCACTCAGCACACATGGGACAAGCAGGGGATTGGGCCCAGCCGCCATGGGTTTATGAAAGGCAGGTCCTGCCTGACTAACCTGATCTCCTTCTATGACAAGGTGACCCACTTGGTGGACGAGGGGAAGGCTGTGGATGTTGTCTACCTAGACTTTAGTAAAGCCTTTGACATGGTTTCCAAAACTGGCTCCTTGTGGCTTAGATGGGCGTACTCTTTGCTGGGCAAAAAAATGGCTGGATGGCTGGGCCCAAAGAGTTGTGGTGAATGGAGTTAAACCCAGTTGGTGGCCAGTCACAAGTGTTCAGGGCTCAGTAATGAGGGTGGTTCTGTTTAATATCTTTACCCATGATCTGGATGAGGGGCTCGAGTGCACCCTCAGGAAGTTTGCAGGAGACACCAAGTTGGGTGGGAGGGTCGATCTGCTGGAGGGTAGGACACCTCTACAGAGGGATCTGTACAGGCTGGATCGATGGGCGAGGCCAACTGTATGATGTACAACAAGGCTAAGTGTTGGGTCCTGCACTTCGGTCACAACAACCCCATGCAATGCTACAGGCTTGGGGAGGAGTGGCTGGAGAGCTGTCTGGAGGAAAAGGACCTGGGAGTGTTGGTTGAGAGCCGCCTGAACATGAGCCAGCAGTATGCTCAGGTGGCCAAGAAGGCCAATAGCATCCTGGCTTGTATCAGGAATAGGG